GGCCGCGAAGTTCTGCGGGGCCGGGGTGCGGGGCAGGGCGAGGCCGCGAAGTTCTGCGGGGCCGGGGTGCGGGGCAGGGCGATAGCGTGGCTGGGAGCAGGGGGAGCGGGGCCACGCGGGACCCCAGCCCCGTCCTGCTGCCAGAGTGCAGCTTCTGCGCTTCACTCGCCTTATTGTATTAAAGTTGGTTTATGAAGTGAGGAAGACCCGAGCAGAAAACTACTGAAGTGGATCAGTGATAGCAGGGTGAGATCTCTCTGCTTATCCCTTTACCAGCTAGGACAGGAGGGCTTCTTCAGTTTGTTTTCTTTGCAGCCTTATCTTTTACCCCTGACACACGCCAAACCGCAGACTTTGTGCCCTGCAAAGACGAAAGCAGAGCCTGTGGCACGCTGGGCCAGGTGCCAGGTGGGAGCAGTATCGGAGCTCTACCCACGTCACGCCAAGCGCGGTGCGTCCCTCCGCTAACGCCCGAGACCTGCGTCTCGCCACGTTCCGGGATGCAATGCGTGGGCAGAAAACCGCAGGGTGCCTGCTCAGGACTCATTAGGATTCAGGTAGGTATAAACAGGCTTTCCCTTGCCAGCGACACTCTTTATGGCATCCTACACGGAGAGAACGGAACATTTTCTTAAGTAAGCAACCCTCCATCGCACAGCTTTTGTGAGGTGCTTGTCACCTGCTGGGGTGCAGCCCATCGGTGCTGCAGCCGTGACGGGGCTGCCAGGCTGCACAGCCAGCACCCTGCCCGCCCGCTTCTCTTCCTTCTCTGATGTTATGCCCATGCAGCCTGCAAAGATGAGAAGCAGCCAAATTCCCTTTCGGCTGCAGGGTACACATCTGCCGGGCACCCCGCGATGCTGCCCGGCCAGGGCAGCCCAAGCCTCGGTGCAAAGAGATCCGGGATGCAGAGCAGCGCTGTCGGAAGCACAGCAGGCAAAGCCCGTTTCTTCTGCAGAGAGGTCTGACCCTGCCACCCTTCTCGTGCCTCTGGGCAGCCGGCGAGGAGGAGGGTGAGCCTGGGAGGAAGGGCTGTGGTCTCCCGGCATTTGCTATCCACAATAACCCACCCGAGGCTTTTCCTCCCCATGCCATGAAAGCCTCCAGCAAATGCTCTGGCAAAACTCCCACCCTTTACCGCAGACACGGGCCCCCGAGCAACAGAAACATGAAGGAAAGGGGAGTTTGTTACAACTTGGCACAGCTGGAGCTTCCCTCGCTGCATAAAAGCAAAGCAAAGTAGAAAAGAAAAGAGAAGGCACCACAGAGCCAATTGCACAGGGTGAGCAAGGGAAAGTTTCCCGAGTCAGCAGGCAGGGCGTGCTCTGTGAACACCCCGGCCATCCCCCCGCTCCGGGCCGCAGGGATCGGCAGAGCGGCAGAGGTTAATTTGCCAACGAGTCAGGTGGAAGCCCTTGAGATTGCAGGTTTGAAATACAGCAAAAGGGAGAGGCGCGGCTTCATCCCAGGGCGTATCTAAACGCCAGAAGTTTCAACCAGCCTGAATCAGGTAGAAAACCAAGAGAGGGCTGCCTGGAGCACCTAGGGAGGTTTAAAAAGCTGTGCCTCACTTCTCCACCTGAAATAAAAGGAGCAGAGAGAAGCAATAAAGGCAGAGTAAGGAGAGCTGGTTACCAGCTTCGGTTTATGGGAGAACAGAGGTGCACGGGCTGCAGGAGAGAGCAGGTTTTCCACAGAGCAAGGTGTAGCTGGAATAGGGTTAAAGAAGGGAAAAGAGCGCTCGGTGTAAGCAAGCCGTGCCCTCCGCTGCGAAGCCCTTGCCACGGCAGGGCTGCCGGGGGAGCCGGGAGGGGGTCCCAGCTCCTCATCCGTCTTTGGCATCCCCAGACTCAGCATTTCTGTTGAGTTGGATCAGTCTGTCCAAGGAGGATTTGTCTCTGGATGCACTTTTTTGCTCTTTCTCCCACCTCACAAACTTGTGCAGGGTTTTTCTTTTCAGCTCTCCCGGCCGGTTCTCCCTGCAGGTGCAGAGGGACCATCAGCCACCTCCGCCTGGGGACAAGCACAGACTTGCACAGCTACAAGTGTGCGAGACTAAGGAGCGTAATATATTTTACTCTGTCTGCAACCTTAGTGATGACAGGAGCAGCCAGCACCAAGTATAAAAAATGGCAAATCAGTGACACCACGTCCTTTAAGAAAAGCCTTTGCTCATAAATCAGCAGCTTTCTGCAGGAACCGTGCTGCAGTCAGAGATAAAATAACAGCAGCACCGTCCCAGGGTGGAAGGGAACAGGAGGAGAGGGAAAAGAGGGCAAAAGAGCAGAAAGCAAAGAAGTCAGTGAGGACAAAGCGATACAGCAAAAGAAAAGAAGTCGGGTGCTAACACTGTGCAGTTTTCTCCTGCGGTCGCCCCAGCCCCAGGCACCGGTGGGTGCCAAGCTCCCACACAGCCCTCGGCACACCCCAGCACCCGGGGTGGGCAACCAAACCACCGGGACCCCAGCGCGGCCCCGGGAGGGCTGAGCTCACGCACCTGGGGACAGCGAAAACCTCCCGAGCCACCATCCACACAGCCCAGCCCCGAGCTGCAGTGGCCCTGAATCTGCCGGGAGCTAAGCCAGCCCTCCAGCCCTCGCCTGCACCAGGGAAGCTCGGGCACAGCCGCTGCTGCCCGGCGGGTGGTTTTTCCATGTTCAGGACTTTTTCCTCCCTCCCTCCCTCCCAGCCCCTGGAGACCCAGCTGGGAACAGCTTCTGGCTGCTGCTTGCAGCCCCCGAGTCCGCTGTCGGTGTGCCTGCGGCCGCTGAGCTAAGCCATCAATGCAAACACAGGGCTATGGGAGGGGAGAGGACATACCTTCCTGCGGAGCGTTTGTGTCCCACACAGACCACATCTGCACAAAGAAAAAGGGAGTCCAGCACACTATGAAAGCTAACACGATGATGAAAGTCATTTTGACTGTCCGGATCTTGGCTTTGGAGATGAGCCTGGTGCTGCTGACCCTGGCAAACGCAATCCCGCTGCAGGAGCTGGAGCTCAGACCCACGTTGGGCCCGTGAGCCGTCTTCAGCTTCACATTCTGCCAGATTTTGAAGCTGATTAAGCCATAGCAGATGCTCAGCATCAACACGGGGATGATGTAGACCATGAGGGTTATCCAGGTGACATAGGCTTTAGGTCCCCAGGGCTGGATGAAATCAGCCCAACAGTCGTAAACCCCATTCCCCACATCCCTCAGGGAAAATATGTGGATCTGAGGGATGCTGACGAGCAGGCACAGCAGCCAGGTGAGGAGGACAGAGACCCGGTCCGCTCTCCTGTGCAGAGACCGCAGTGGCTGACAGATGGCCAAGCACCGGTCCAGGGACATCAGCAAGAGCATGTAGGTGGAAGCGAACATCCCCACGACCTGCAGGTACTTGATCAGCCGGCAAAGGAAAGCCGGCCCGTAAAACCTGAAGGTGATGTCCCAGATGAGCTGGGGCAGCACCTGGAAGATGGCCACGACCAGGTCAGCGATGCTCAAGTGCTTCATGAAGAAGTACATGCGGGAGTGCTTCTGCCGGGTGGTGTGGATGGCCAGCAGCACGCACAGGTTGCCGGTCAGGGCGAGGAAGAGGATGAGGCAGAGGACCGTCACCTCCACCTTGGCCATGTCCTCGTTCCGTTTCAGGGGGTCCGGGGTGCTGTTCCTCCCGCTGCTCTGGTTCTCCAGGCGGAGGCTGC